CAGGCTCCTACACACACCTACAGACTTACAAAGCCTGCTCGCTCTACTCTGGCGCTGACCAGATGACAAGGACATGTGGTTACTTGAGGGAGGCATTGCGTTGCCATGCCAAGAGCGAAATGCTCGCAGCTAAAGGGATTTGAAAACAACAACAACGTACCGCAGTGATCCCCACAGCCATGAGCACTTCGTCCGTCTTGTTTTGGCTGAAAACAGAAGAAACAAAAACCTTTTCTGAGTCCGTGTCAAACGTTTTGCGACGTCGTGAAAACAGGCGCTCGTCAATTTTTGGGCATATAGAGTTATAATTTGTATTATCTCAAAGCTTGTTAATTCGTCTTGCACATGACGAAAAAAAATATATCCATCTATCTGGAATAGAAGTTGAGATATTTGCGATTGAAGGAGGCGGGGCGGGGGTTGCATGGTGTGAGAAGTCAAATTAGCGAGGAAATGGCCGCCAAAGTTTGGTGACTTACAAAGCTTGAGTGTTCTTGAAAACTGGAACTTTACATGTTTTGCACCTTTAATCAATGTTTTCTGTAACATCCACACAAAAATGTGGTTTTAAAAGGACATCAAAGGTTCTGAGCCAAAGCAATACAATTTGAAAAATTCTCCCTAAGATCCTGCATTTTCCTTGCTCCCAAGCCCAGGATCTTAGTTGGAGACAGCTGTATTTCTCAACAAACCACTAAGTTTAAATTAGCAGGCCGGCCTGGTTAGGCGTTGTTTTTGGTTAGTTTAAGAGTTTTACAGCACTTGCAACACAACTAGGTCATTTTTAGCTTTAGTAAAAGTTTAACGGTGCTCCCAACTCTGCATAAGTCATATGAGCGCCTGAAAATGGGTCCTTATAAGTATTATAAATGTCGAAGACTGGAGTTGTTGCTAGAGAGTGATATAGGCTACATAGTAAAGAAAGAGGAGGGACAAAGACAATAGATGTTTTTTTTATAGGGAAGAGGGAGGAAACGACACCAGAGCACCTGCCAACCACCTTCAGAGGGACAAAGACGATAGATGTTTTTTTTATAGGGAAGAGGGAGGAAATGACACCAGAGCACCCGCCAACCACACACGGAGGGACAAAGACGATAGAGATGGTTTTTTTTATAGGGAAGAAGGAGCAAACCACACCAGAGCACCCGCCAACCACCCTTGGGTAAGCCGGAGAGTGCAGAATGGCGCAGCAACCACAGGGCCTCACCTGGCCACCGTACCCAGAAGGAATCCTTCACACACCGTCTGAGGAAAAGAAAAAGAAACCCAACAAAATATCATCTGCTATTCCAGTACAATGTTTTAGTTATTTATAAGAGTTTTACGGCACTTGCAACACAATATGGTCATTATATAAGTGCCGAAGAATAGATGTGTTACAAGAGAGTTTTTGTTTTAGTAAGAGTTTTACGGCACTTGCAACACAATAAGGTCATATAAAAGTGCCGAAGATTAGAGGTGTTACAAGAGAGTAACACACACAAAAAAGGAGGAGAGATAAGGACGATAGATGTTTGATAGGAAAGAAGAAGCAAACCACACCAGAGTATCCGCCAACCACCCACAATCTGTTATTTCAACTAATCTGTTGACAGGGTGATCATCTCAACTTAATATCCTTTTTTTTTCTTCCATTTCAAACACAATAAGATCATAGCGCGTGCACACATACACACACACTCACTCTGTCTCTCTCCATCTCCTTCTCCCTCACTCGGCCATTCTCTCTCTCTCTCTCTCTCCCTCTCTCTCCCCCTCCATCCCTCCCCTCCCCTCTCTCTCCCTCCCCCCCCCCCCCCCCCCCCCCAATCTCACCACAACTTGTGGGGTGTAAGAGCCACTTACAAAAGCAATGAGGAGCACAAAGTTGAGCGGTGAGCGACGTCGAAAGTCTGGGCAGCATGCCAGGACAATCAGGATGATGATCGTAAGGACGCTGTAGAGAAAAGAAGCAGATTTTCACAACTCTTTAGTTTAGTTTTAGTAGTACTAAGAGTTTTACAGCGCTTTCAACACAATTTGGTCAAAATGGTGCCGAAGATCAGAGCAGTTACAAGAGAGTTATGATTTAGTAAAAGAGTTTAGTTTTAGTAAGAGTTCTATGGCACTTACAACACAATATGGTCATATTAGTGCCGGAGAATAGATGTGTTACAAGAGAGTAACATACACAAAAAAAGAAGGACGAGAGATGAGGACGATAGATGTTTGATAGGAAAGAAGAAGCAAACCACACCAGAGCACCCGCCAGCTGGCCACTTAGTTTAGTTTTAGTAGTAAGAGTTTTACAGCGCTTGCAACACAATTTGGTCATAGAGGCGCCGAAGATCAGAGGAGCTACAAGAGAGTTATGCTTTAGTTAGAGTTTTACGGCACTAGCAATACAACTTGATCGTATAAGTGCCCCAGATTAGAGGAGTTACAAGAGAGTTACAAACATACACACACAAAATAGGCGGAGAGATAAGGACAATAGACGTCTCATAGGAAAAAAGGAGCAAACCACACCAGAGCACCCGCCAACCACCCACGTTCACAACTCTGTTAACTTTTTTCCCTGCCGTGTAGATGTATATATACGTGAGGCGTGCTGACAAAAAGAGTTACTTCTCACATTCCACAAATGGGGATATCGGCTAAAAATCGACACAGGGTCAAATTTGTAGTTTTCTATTGATGCCATAAATACTTTAAGTACAACATGCTTTTTATTATTTCAAACTTATTTTTTTATAAATCGCAAAAAAAAACTTCAGCTATAAGTGAGAGGTATCTATATTTCCATAAGGCTTGAATCCGAGAAGTTAACTCATTTTGTCAACACGCTTCACATATGCTCAACTCGCTGAAGTTGATGTGATGTGATGGGATGGGATGGGATGTGGCGTTTGTTCCTTTTTTGATGAGTGTTTTACGGCGCTTGCAACTGAATACGGTCAAATGAGTACGCGGGACACATTAAACATTTTTTAGCTGGTATGAAATTTCGAACTTTGCCTGGGTGGCGACCGAAGCCTACTCTTATCGATTTTAGGACCACCAAGGGATCTTTAACAGAACGTGTGCAACTTGCATACGGGACGAGAAGGCTGGGTGTTCGATCTTACCTACCCTAAGATCAGGGGTGTGGCAGAAAGACAGCAGTAAAAAGGAGCTGAGGAGCAGCAGTAGAAAGACTGCAGAAAGAGTCAGGAGCTAGAGGAGAGGGCAAAGGAGGTGAGGGGGAGGGGGCAGAAAGTGGAGACGAAAGCAGACGACATAACATGGTTAGAGATGAGGACAAGAAAGGAGATGAAAGGAGAAAATTTTAGAGAAGAAAATTTTCCGTCACTGTTCGGATTCGAACCCCAGACCTACTGAATGAGAGGCAAACACCTTAACCTATAGGCCACGAGAGCTCCAACCACTTTTCCCCAGGACAATGGGTGGTCGTCTTGGACAATTTCGACAGTATAATGGCAAGTCAGCGTAACAACAGACATATTTTTACAATAATATCTATGATGCGTCATATAATAAATCTATCATACGTAAATGATAGGAGGGGGGGGGGGGGGAGAGATGTGTCACGACGTGGTGGAATCAGGCGCTCGTCAATTTTGAGGCATATGGAGTTATTGGTATCATCTTAAAACCTGTCCATTTGCCTTGCTTTCGATGAAAACAATACCCATTTATCCTGGATACAAGTTGAGATATTCGCGATTAAAGGAGGCCGGGTCGCTTGGTTTCAGAGGTAAAATTAGCGAAAAAGTGGCCGCCAAAGTTTAGTTATTTCCTTAGCTTGAGAGCTCGTGTAAACTGAAAATGTACAACTTTTATGCATTTAATCAAGGTTTCTCAGTAAAATCCACACCGAAATGTGTTTTTAATGGGCATAAAAGGTGTTGAGCCGAAAAACAAAAATTAGATCGAAATGACAAAACCTGCGGAAAAAGGCCAGAGTTTCTCCACTTTCATTATTTTGACGAGCGCCTGATTTCACCACAATGCCCCACAAACGATACTTACAAGGAAAGAATCCACATCCAAGGGTTATCGCTGGAGTAGTCTCTGATTGCATCCCTGAAACAAAGGGAAAAACATTCAGATATCAGCGTCGACGGTTAGAGCCAAGGCACCAGTCACCAGTGGCGAGGGAAAAACTAACCTGGACCAGGAAAATAGAGAAACAAGATGGACAAGAAAAAAAAACTAGATCCTTGGGAAACACTATTGATACTTCACCACAAAAGTTTGGATATTCTAATTTTGCTTCTTTTAGCCTCAAAATTAGTGTCATTGTCATTGACATAATATTATTATATTCATATATATATAATAATCATCAATAATAATTAATAGCATTCATATAGCGCATATTCCAGCTTAACAGCAAGCCCTATGTGCTTTACAATCTATATCATTACCCCTGCAGACCTCATAACACTCAGAAACATTCTCCACTTCACGGGAAGCATACAGTGCAAGCAACCAATTAGCACTCAAACACTAACAAACTGACAATATCTTTCACTATCTCTTGTCGGGTTACATTCCCACCTGAGCGAAGTGGGAAAAATCTGTGTAAATTGACTTTCTCAAAGACACAACATGATGGGTTTCGAACAAACAACCATTCGAATGCGAGCCCAACAGTCTAACCACAAGCAGACCACCAACACCACTAAAGATGTGATTTTAGACATGTAACAATATACGAAAGAATTCAAGCATGAGGCTTTTCCACAGTAACTGACAGGACAGAGAAAACATCTCATTTATCACACCAGTTACCTGAAATAAAACACATCATCACAGAATTTGCATAAAGTAATTTTTTTTTTCAAATGATGGCATTTAATATGATTCTTATATGTCTTTCAAATGTTCTGATCATTTAAGGCTAAACTAAATTAATTATATTTTTTTTTCATAGTAGAGGGTTTTACGGCGCTCGCAACTGGATAAGGTCATATGAGCGCCAAGGGGTGGGTGTCAACAGAGAAGTCTTTACAGGGAATCAGACTTAGACTGCTCACCTCTCTAG